ATATTACTTTTTGTGTTTCTGAGGCCTTATCTAGGATGACATTGTCTGTGTGTGAGTTCCTCTTCTCTCCTTGTTGAAACAAAATTCTAAACACCCAAAGTTAAAGCAGAAAGTGGCAATTTGGCTTACAGTTCATAAGGGTTTCAGTCCATAATCAACTGGCTGCAAGGCAGGGTGGCTTGGCAGAGTAGAAACAGTATACCTCAGGCATGAGGTAGCAAAACAGCAATGGGCCTTAACATTTTTCTGCCACTTTTATCTCATCCAAACTACCAGGCTTAAATTGGTGCCAAACCAATCACTAACATGGTTTAATAATTGCTCACTCTTAATCCCAGTGGTACACACTCTATATTCAGAATCTCAGAAAAAAAATCCAACCTACTCCTAAGTGAGGCTTTGGGGGAACAGCTAGACAGGAGCAATAAGAGGATGTGCCTATGGCTTCAAGTATTTTTCCATGACCTTGAATCTTTATGAGGGTTAAAAAATCATTAGATTAAAATATTATATAGGAACATAAAATGATGAGAATGCATTAGACACCTACAAATAAGTACCTGCACTATAGTGCAATCAAATTTGGCTGTGTTAAACCCATTTTATTCCCTAAATTTGTCATTTAATATATGAAATTGCATTTAGTAGTGAAACAAATGATCCAGAACAAGTCCATTTTTCTTGACATGAATAGCATGCACCCTTTTCTCATGTAGTTTCCCAGTTACAAAATGAAATGGATAATGACATGGAAGCATCATTTATAAGTGCACTATCCAACTCATAAGAGAAGCATCTGCAGTTTTACTGAAAAGAGAGGTGTATTATTAATGGACCAAGGAAAGGGCACTCAGTTTCCTATCTCTAGAATTAAGTTGAGTCTGACATTGCCATATCCTGCAGTTATGTGATGTGCTGGTCATCTTACCATTACTGTAAAAAAATTTCTAAATCAACCAATTAAAAACCAGAAATCTTTACTTAGTCTCTAAATTAGAGTTCTCAGTCTATGGTCAGATGGCTTCATTGCTTTTAGGCTTGTGGAGAACAAGGACATTTTCATGAGGAGCAAGTGATAGACTGAAGATATTCAATTCATTATATCAGGGAAGCCAGAGGGAATGGTGTTGATTTCCACTTCGTTCTTTAAGGTCATGCTTCAAGTGCAATGATTTCCTCAAAGTTGGCACCATGTCCTCAAGGTACAACGTTTTTCAAGCATCAAATGCTGCAGACCAAACCTTTAACTCATGAGGATTTGGGGACATTTCTGATTCAAGCTATAGAACCTGATGACTGTGAGGGTAGTCCTAGAATAAGGCCACCTCATGGAGGGCTCCATGATGACCTAATTTGGGACACTCGGAATTGTGTTTCTAAAATTGTAATAGTTAACAATAACCCTTTTGATAGTCAAAACATATTTGTGTAAAGGTTTCTTTTTCTTATAAATAGTAATGAGGTCCAAAATAGAAAAATACTTCAAAACCACCTCAAACCATTTGACATATACCCTTATATGACTCAGTAAGACCCCCAATAGCCGTGATAATAATATGAATGGAGTAAGATACAGTCGCCTGAAGAAAATACCAATAATTACTTAATTACACATAACAGTCCAGTTCACTGACGTCGTGTGGGAGAAAGCAATCATGGATCTGCCTATGGGACCACATAGAAGCTCATTATATCATAGAAGTTCTGGATATCAGTGCAGCTTTCATTCAGTTCATCTACAACATTACCTCTGTGAAACTGATGCATGAACAATTTGTACAACTGAGGTCTCAATTCATGTTTTTTCTTCAAATGAGCCAGAGAAACACAGTTGAGTTTAAAGGTTGAAATCATTTGTCAAAATCATAGAATTGTGGAATCAAAAGGAGGTACAAAGTAGAAGTTAAAACATGGTTGCACATCATATTATGTGGGCATTTTTTGGGAAGATCTTAGTGACACAGAGCAAGGCTTCTGTCCAGCCTGTATTCTTCTCATTTTGTGCTATTCTAGAAAGGCTAGCTCAAAGCTCATGGCCCCAGCATATAAAAGGCTTCCAAGTATTGAGATGCCACAGAACTGTCTTAATTTCCTTTGGCCTTAAACCTTAGATGAAAGGATTCATCACTTGAGAGATCACAATGTACATCACAGAGGTCATTGCATTATTATTGGGAGAGTTACTAAATATAGAACTCAAGTACACACCGAAAGCTGTCCCATAGAAAAAGGAAACAACAGAGTGGTGAGACCCGCAGGTGGAAAATGCCTTATACCTTCCCCCAGCTGATGGCATACTCAAAATACAGGAGACAATTTTAATGTAAGAGAAAATAATTCCAATAAGAGGAACACCAAAAAATGTGTTTCCTGCTGAATATATCAGCATGACATTAATAAAGGCATCAGAACAGGCCAGCTTGATGACCTGAGCAAGTTCACAGAAGAAGGGTGGGATTTCCACATTTATGCAGAAGGACCGTGGCAGTGCCGCCAGACTGTGGAGTAGACCATGCACAATACTCACAAGCAGGGAGAGTAGAACCAGAAGGACACAGAGGCATGGGTGCATGATGACCATGTATCTCAGCGGCTGACAAATGGCCAAGTAGCAATCATAAGCCATGACCACAGGTAGATAATTTTCTAAACAACCAAAACTAATACAAAACAAAGCTGAGAGAAGTAGCCTGTGTAACTGCTTCTCTGATCCTCTGTTTGGATGTTCACTAGTATCTTTGGGATCATGCTAGTGCTTATATAGATGTTGGTGAAGGACAGGTTGGATAGGAAGAAGTACATGGGGGTGTGGAGGTGGGAGTCAGAGCTGATTGCCAGGATGATGAGCAGGTTTCCCAGGATGGTGACCAGATAGATAACCAGTTATATGTGGAAGGTGCATGGCTACAGTTCTGGATCATCTGTCAGTGCTAGGAGAAGGAATTCCAAGACAGATTTTTTTTTTTAATTTCATGTTTTTGGCGAATCTGTGGAAAAAATGGGGTAAAATATAAAATGAAACAATGGTTTCTGGCTGAGCACCAGAGTCTCCTCAGCATGATAAAAATGGATACTATGGATGTCAGTTGTATGCATTCTGGGAACAAGGCCCAGCATTCCACAGTTAGCATATATTTTCCATGATGTTAATATTTCTAAAATGCTTCTAATTGTGCTTTAAAATAAAGAATAAGTGAAAATTCACATTGCAAAACATGTAAATGTGCAAATGTTTCTCTGCTGCTTCTTCCTCCATTTTTCTTCTCTCTTCTAACTCCTACTATCTTTATTGGATATCCATACTTTTTCATAAGGTTTACAAAATATAGGAATAAAATACATCATCAGACCTAATTTTTTCTTTCTATCCATAAATTGAAACAAAAAATGTGAGAATAAACTAATCAAATTTATCTTGTAGAGCATCAGTCCACCATCCTTTTTGGTACTGGAGAACAATTTCACCGAAGACATTATTTCTACAGAATGTGGGAGGAGGAGTAGTTCAATTCATTAACGTCTGTTGTGCTCTTTATTTCTATTACTATTACAGTGTAGTATAGAATGAAATAATTATATGACTCATTATAATGCATAATCTAATAAGAAAATAATGAACAGGTCTCAAGCAAACTAAAATTAGGGTTTGATTCCGGCCTAAACCCTGCCACAAGATATATTGAAATACATCAATTGAAACACACCAACTCACTTGTGACTGTAACCTGGGCTACCAAGTGCAGCTTAATTGCCACTTCTCATTCACTGATATCTTTGTGGTATGAGTTGGCAAGCACTTGATTTATTATCATCTCTGGGCAAATATCTCTGCTACCTTTAATCACTATTTGCATCCATTTTCCAGTGTTAGCATCAGCTCCCAAGCTCCACTGTAAATTTCAGTCTTTAGATTTTCTCATGAAGCATGGAACTTAGATTCTTTGCATGTGAAGTGAGGGATAGAGTTCCAGCTCCTGTGAGAACCTAAGGCTACTGCTTATCAGACAGGAGGCAGAACTCAGATGGTAATGTAAGCCATGCTGAATGGCTGCAAATGCAAACAATGCTTTCATTGCCTTCATGCTGCTCTCCTCTTGCTGTGTCACCTGATTCCTAACAGGCCACCAACTAGTCCTTAGCCCAGATTTAAGGAGCGATGCTGTATGGTGAAGCAATAGTGTCTTATTTTGGGAAATCACAGTATCACCTGACTGCCTTTTCAATTTACTTATGATATAGTTTAACTTTTAGAACCATGGACCTCTCAGCACTTGACATGGAAATATCTATATACAGTTGGGCAAACGCTATGTCAAAGATCTCATAATCAGACTGCTGAACTAATCTTCTTGAGTCACCTCTGCAAATCCACTGGATAGTACAGAATTAGCACTTGTAAATGTTTCTGTATTTCTGATTAATTTCATTTACAATTGTTATAGTTTCTTTCTCAAAGAAATCCCCAAAGTTCCTCCTGCTTTCAAAGTGTGCCATCCCATAGGCATTAAGTGAGCTATAGGATGTGGAAAATGGCCATGCAGATGGACCTGACAAGTGACTGAAAATCTGTGCCTTTAGAGTTGAAGCTGTTAGTATTGTTCCATGGGAACAGGAGCAATCTGATTAGCAATTAATTCTAGCAGAAGCTAGGTAACTATGTTGAAAACATTATTTCCAATCCTAAGGGAAACCCATACCTTAATGAGGTAAACAGCGAATAATTACATAAAACTGAAAAGCAAATGAAACAACTAAATGTGAGAAAAGTAAAATACAGAGGCCCCTATGAAAAAGGATAAATAAAAATTAATTCCTCTACAGACTTTAAAAACTACTTTGAGATTGCTATTCGGGCATCTCGATGAGAGAGTCCCTTGTGAGCATTGCTGGCTTTCCCACTGGGGAAGAGAGAAACAGTTACATATGTAGTGATCATTTGTTGCAAAATAAGAGTTATGGCTGTGAATTTATTCCACCGTATATGTGTTAAACACATAATTTTTTTATCTTCATTGAATTTATTGGTACATTTTAGCCATACAGTACAGTTCCATTCATTATTGGGATCTTGTACCTTTACATGACAGGTCTTGGTTCTCATTTTTTCCTGTTGTCACTGCTTTCCCTTCACCCCCTCCTCCCTTCCCCATCTACAAACACTTTATTTCCATTTGTTCATTTTCTACTATTTTTTTTTCTTTCCCTTATTACCTTTCCCCTACCCTTCCCACTCTCCCTATAAAGGTTAGTCCTTGTTTTCCCATTTCACAATGTCAGTTATCTCCTTAGAATTTTATGTACTATTACAGTTTATTCACACCAGAGAAACTATTCAGTATTTACACATATGTGACTTATTTATTTCTCTTAGGAGTATATCCTCAAAATGTATGGATTTTCCTATGAATGAACCCAATTTTTCATTCTTTATGGGTGAGTAGTATTCCATTTTATAGAGAAACCACATCTTCTTTATCCAGTTTCCAACCAATGGGCAAATGGGCTGTTTCCATGTTTTAGCTATTACAAACTGTGCTGCTATAAACATAGGTGCCACGACCACTCCAGTGGAGTCTGTATGACAATGCCGGTCACCTGGCAGAAACCAGACCCAAGGTATTGTCCCCACGGGGTTAAGCCTCCTGGAAGTCCTTGGCACACACCGCATGCAAAGTCAGCCATGAAGAGAATAGCTGGCCTCTCTGCCTGCAGTTTGGGGACATTGGGTTCATTTATAATTCTGTTCTATTTTGTCTTTATTACTATTTATTCATTATCTGTAGAATTGTATTCTGGGCCCAGGAAAGATCAAGAACATTTAGGTGTTCCTAGAGATGGGGAGGTGTTGGGGCACAAGAGGACGGGCAGCCAAAGTGCTGACCCTGAGCCCCAGACTGTGAAGTCCTGAAGGTGATCCTGAAGGTGACATGCTGAAGCCAGTCCTTTGTTTTACAAAGTTCCCCTTCTGACTGCGTATAGGTGTGGTCTTACCTTGACTTAGTGGTCTTAGCTTTTGTGATTGTATATAGGTGTGGTCTTACCTTGACCTTGTGGTCTTAGCTTTTACAGTACTATTGTCTATCTTTCTCATGCCTGCTTGTGACTGAAATCACTCTTGAGGTGTGCCCTTGAAACTAATATATATACACCTAGAGTTAGAAATAAAATTGCAGCAGCTACTACCTTCACTACTCAGTGCTATGTGGTTTCTGACTGTCACCGCCGAACCTGCTCCCACCTTTCTGAAGATCCCTGTTCTCCTCGTGAAATCCAGTCTTTGCTCCC